ATGAATTTGATATGTGAAATACGATATATGAAATTTGTAATACCCAGGATGACCTTCTGAAGGCATTCGAGCTTTTTGTGCCAAAAAGCCTATTTTCTAACTACTTAAGGCCAATGATTACTTAAAATCACTTATAACTAAACTATACATGATAATAAAATGTAAAGGGCTCAAGCCTAAGACAATTAAAGACTTTGCTAGGTATATAGTTTTAAGTAACCATAATATACCACTTCGTATTGAAATGGATGATAAATATATTATATGTCTAAATGTATCACCTCAATATAAAGGAAATATGAAATATTTTAAGTATTTAGAAAAAATTTTAGATAATTCAAATACACCTGATATTTTCATGAATTATTTATTTAAACGTGACCTTTCAGATTGGATACCACAAAATATTTCCAATACAAAAATAAAAGCGAAAATAATGCGGGATCAATTTTCTAATCCTATTCAGTTTATAATCGATCATACTTCTTCATGGCCTGTTAAAAAAATTGATAGACCATACTATACAAATTTATATCAAGAATATATTGCCTGGTGTGAAAATAATGGAGAAAAAATATTTGCTAGCGTTATTCTAGAAAAGAAGTTTTCACAAATTAGTTTTGATAGAACATGTTTACAAAATAATGGAAAAAGAGAATATCACTATTTTCTTAATCGCTCTAAAATCATAGCTAAGCTCTGTAAATCTGACTTAAGCAATATTGAAGAATTTTCTAATATAGCTTAATTTGACTTACCTGAAAATAAGACTACAGATATACCTATATTTAATGTGTCAGAAATTATTCTTCTAAAAATAATCTTACCTCAGCCAGAAAAAAACACGCCTTTACCTAGTATTAGTAAAGATAAAAAGGTGGATAAACAGGACAAATGTAATTCAAGCTCTTTCGGTTATTTAGCAAAATAAGCAGAAGTTCCAATCGTCTTAACATCTAGAACATCCAAGATTTTTAAAATACCTAAACTAGTAATTAATGAACCTGAGATTAGCAAGCTTTCTGATTCTTTTAAGCTTATTAATAAAGTATTGTCTGTCATCTTTCTGTTAAGAGTCCAGCGAGAAGAGCATTTTAGAAAAAATGCAGTTGAACTTGAAGAGGATTCAGATGTTTTCATGACTATTACAGAAAAGGACAGGTTCAATTCTATTACATTTTACGATAGAATGGAAGATAGAATAAAAACTGATTTACGAATATGTAGATATGCAAAAAAGATAGAAGAAGATCTCAAAGAACATATAGATATGATAGTATGAGAAAGATTAATAGGAGAAAAAATAATCTGTTGTTCTCTTAAAGATAATAAAGTCGCAATCTCATAGCTTGATACTGATGAGAAATGGCAAAAAAATATAAGTATATTTCAGAAGAATGATATGCTCTGGTAAAGAACAAATAAGAAGCTGATCAATAGATTATTTATAAGAATAGGACTTTTTGTTCTTTATACTAGATAATATAAAATCCCAAATTATTATTTTTTTCGCTTATACTATTTATCTGCAAATTTCAAATTAATGTAAACCCTTTTCTAATCAGAACATACTACTTCAGCCCTCTATTTTTCACTGATTATGAGTAGGGTCTGCATATAGAGAATTATCAGAATATTTTTTCTGAATTGAACTTTTTCAGATATAAAATAACTTAAGGGTTGCACATAATCTAGTAGTTACTTCATAAGCTATATTCACACAACTATGTCTGCAATTGTAATAAAGTATGTTGCAGACTACAAACTCAGTAAAGATATGAGTGATGAAGAACTTAATCAGCATATCTCAGCATTACTTGAGTTTTTGATAGATAAACTAAAAAGAGATAAAAGTCAACAGTACTTTCAAAAAGGGTATAATTTTAGCAAAAAGCAGATATTTATATTAGTTTCTGATCAAAGAATTTGTTGAAGTAAAAGTTAAGTAACTTTTCAAATAGGAGGAATAGAAATGGAGGAAATGAATCTATGCCAAATGTCTAAGCTTATTCCAGAAGGAGAAACTGTCAAAAGGATAGCTCAGCAAATTATCTAGGATAATCTTAGCGAAAAAGTTATAGAATATATAGCAAAAACTTTAGCTGAATCTACTTTTAATGCTAGTGCTAGTTTATTCTAAATCTCTAGACTTCAAAGAGAGTTGCGAATTTTCAATACTTCAGAAAAAATTGTCTTGATTACATTAATTTCAAAGATAATCTGTTCAGCTAATAAAATTTAAAAGGAGCATAGTGAGTAACATGAAAATGAAGAGATCAATTTTTCTAATTACTTCTCGCTAGAATCAGTTAAAGAAAGATTGGATGGGTATGATATATTCAATATACCTAATATACAAGCCTTTGCTGATATAATAATAATACTCTGTGTCCATCCTGCTGAAATTAAAATCTTGCGTATATCTAATGAAGGTGTAATTATATATGCGAAAAATCGAGGTCAATAGAATATCTCTCAGATGTTTAGATCATTAGAAAAAAATGAAGAACGGGTAAGACAGTTACTTACTTAGATCTAGAATTCAATTACTACTAGACAGTTAAGGGACCTAGGAGTGCCCAGAAGTCAAATGGTTCAATACATTTTTGAAAAAAGATAGATTTTTTTCTGAAACTGGCAAATCACTACTTTCTAGATATTTATGCAAATTAGAGGCAGTATTGCAGTTGTGACACACAGAGCAAAGAATTTATCAGAGGCTATGATTATTACCAGTAAAGTACTTCGTCACAATCCTGAAAACTATATCTCTCCTGCAAAAAATTATACTATAGTAAATTATCGGTTAAAAAAAGAACCGTATTATCAGGCAAAGGTAATCAAGCTCTTTGATGAAAACTAATCATATAGAATATTAGGGGTCTTTATTAAGATTGCAGAATACTGTTTATTAATTTTATTTTTTTATTATTTATTAAATTTTATTTTTTCACCTCTTTTAATTTATCGATCTGCAGAAGATAGTCTGTCCTTTTTAATCAGAGCAACTTATTCTAATATCTTATCTGATAGAGTTTCTTTTTTTCGAATAAATATGAGAAAAAAAATAGATATATCATATATAAAATATCGCAAAAATAGTAACCAATCAAAATCATTTATCTGATGCATCTAGAGAGCAAGAAGTTATCAAATATACAAAGATATTAGCCTAGACATTTGGACTAGACAAGCAAAATTTAGAGATGTATAGTGCACTTTCTGGTGAAAATAGATCACTAAAGAAACAATTAGATGACTATCATTCCCAACACAGCACTTTAGAAAAGAGAGTAAAAAGATTAGAAAAGATGTAAAGTTCTTAGAGACTGAATATCTGGACGAATGTGTAGATATGGAGACTGTGATCAACTTAATATAAGAAATAGTTCCTTTGATAATTGATAAAAAAGGGTTGAGAGACGTTCTGTATAAGGGTTTCTCCTATTTGTCTGAGTTTTCTAAAGAATCTGATTCAGTCAAGACAATTGTGATAAGAGAAAATGATGCTATCCCACATAAGCAACAAAGAAAGACACAATCTAAGCATGTTAAGCAGTTAGTAGTTTGAAATAATCATCTATTAGGAAGAATTTGCTAGATTACGCACAGCGCCTTCAACTAAATTGGTTATTTTATTTTTTCGATTAAAGATACAGCATATATTATTTATGGCGCAATCAAGTATTTTATTATACCAGAAGTATTAGAACAGATGCATCCAGATAGCTAAGAAAATTTTTCGTGAGGAGCCGATAATTGAGTATCGCCCTACTTTCATGTAAGGATTAGAGCTTGATGCCTTCTTCCAAAAACATCAAATTGCATTGGAGGTGCAAGGGGCTCAGCATCGGTTTCATAGCACCAGCTTAGCACCAGCTGGTATAAAGACTTGGAGACATTGTTAATCGTGATCGGCAAAAAAGATGCATTTGTCAAGATAATGGAATTTTCCTTCTTGAAGTATGGTACGACGAAAAACCAGACATTGTTATTCCAGAAAGAATAACAAAAATTAATGAGTTCGTTGATCAAGCATCCAAAAGTTTCGATCTCCTATAATCATTAATCAATAGCTTTATAATGCAACAAATTGCAAATAAATTTAACTATGTCTGCTACATGTGTATGCACATATTTACTATGATTATAAATTTCTCAATCAGTGTAATCGAAAATAAAATCACCATTATTAATAATGCATAATCATTTGTATTGGCCTTAACAGTATCCATAACTATGAAGTTTCGTCCATCAGGCTTTTTATTTGGAAATATTTTATTTTTGCAAAGTTAACAAGCGTAGCCTATTATATATTATTACAATGTAATTATTTATGCAAAGAATTTTGTATTTTTTTTCTCGAGATTACTTAAAGTTATTAACAAATATTTGTAAATTACGGTTTTTGTGTTTTTAAAACTACTCGTTGAACATCATATAGATCGATTATAAAATTATTACCTAAAACAGTACCGGGAACTGTCACAGCGTATTCTGCAACATTTGGGACTCCGCCAACGATTGGAGGGTCCCAGAAAGCATCCGAAACCGGAATAGTTACTTGATATGCATTAAGATTATTAGCATTGCAACCGGTAGCTGTATTAGTGCCATATTGTAGGGTACCAAAATCCCACTATCATGTTGCAAAAGTTACTTTAACCACTGACATTCTGACATTTGATCACAATAGTATATAACAGTAGACCAATCTTACTTGTTTAACATAAACTCCGTTTCCTGCAAGAGTTGCATTTGTTGATAATACACTCCCTGCCAGTGCTCGACGCGTCCATAGCATTGCCTAAATGTTAAAACTCTTTAGAGTTGAACTATGAAATAATTAACAATAAAGCAGATAGATAGACTTACAATCATTGATCTATGAACGTTTCCTTGAAAACTCCTTACGTCATCAAGTTTAACACCAAATACACATCTAATATACTGTTCGTGCATCCAGTTTTCACATCTTGTTCCCCAGGAAGCGACGTTTTGAGCACTTGCTATTTCACACATGATCCTCCCGTGAGGACGTTTCTATATAAGTACACTATTAATATAGGAAAGTGACTCGGAAATAATATGATAGTATATACAAACTATACATTCACATCGCTAGGAGGAGGACCAGGATGAGAAACTAACGGTTGTGTTAGAAGAGCTGTATCTCCACGAACCATGATATCTGGTGCCATTTTTTCTATATTGTTAGTTGGGTTGTAATGAACTATAGGAAAATTGTGAATTGTTATTACAAGCCAAAGAACAAGCAGACTAAATGGAAATCTCTTACATGGTTGACCAAGAACTTCTATCGGACCAAGTTTAACACCATTATTTGGTTCTTTAAAACAATCTTGAAGATATGATACTACAGCCTCATGTTCCGGGTTTGCCATGTCAATAATATATACGTTATCTCCTTCCCAATGAAATTTATATCCAGTTTTTTCGTTTTGGATAAGAAAAGTGTTATAATCTCTCACTGAAACTTTCGATCCAATCTGTAAGGGCAAACTGTAACCGTATGAGGCAACATTGGGCGGATCTTAAAGAATTTGCGTAGGCATACTTACCTATCTTCTCTTGGGAGCGTTTTTGGTAACTTGGGATATTTATGGAATATTTTATCAACCTTACTTTTAAATTTTTTATTCGCAGAATTCCAGACAGAGTTTGAAGAAGTTGAGGACATTTTGAAGAAGGAGTTGTTTCGTGCGAAAAAATGTAAAACAATTAGACAATAATTTTGATCAGTATTGATTAGTATTTGTTGAAGATATTACGCTTATAAAGATCTTCCCTCAATTGATAATCGTAGTACAAGTTGAAGTGTACTTTGTGTCACCGCAGTAGAAAGGTGCGAAACATGTGGTGGTATGGTGGTAACTAACATTGCCAAGTTTGCAAACTAGTACTCATTCTTTGTTCCAGCATCATGGAAGGCACACGATACAAATTCTTATAAGTTTCATATTTATAAATAACTAGAAAATGGGAACTGTTATTAAGTCTGAAGTGATCTTAATACTTTTCAAAATCGATACTTCATATAATATGTAATTAGTATTAGGAATAGTAACGTCAGTTGTGGTCGGTCAACAGTCACCGGTTGACTGATCGGCTAATAATAATATAATGAACAATTTTTGGATTAATAGAAAGTTTTAATTTAGCCAAATATTATAATTTTGATTCTTGTTTTAACAATACTAGTATGACATTTTTTAAAACTACTTTATCATTTTTATTTAGTGATGTAATATTATCGTGAACTTTAATTTTTTTTTTCAAAATTTCAAAAATTTTAATTTATAGATAATTAAAATAAAATGTTGATTTTATAAATTTAAT